GAATAAAAGCACAGAGCAGGGGCAGGGTCAGGGTGGGAATCAGCCCAGATTCCAGGATGCTCCAGGGGGTGAAGCCACTCTCAGCTCTGCCACCAGTTGTGATCCTGGACTCTCCTGCTCTGTGCCTCACTTCTGGGTGTCTGGAAAACAGGGATAATGGGGCTGTGTTTCCAAATGCCTTTGAGAGCAGGGAGCAGAAGGTTATTTAAGCTCAATGTGTTATGAGTATTTCTCAGAGTAAGTTAAAGCTTTTTCAAAATATAATCCTGGAATCACGGAATGGTTTGGGTTGGAAGGGACATTGAAGACCATCCAGGTCCAACCCCAACACCTTCCACTAGCCCAGGTTGCTCCAAGCCCTGTCCAGCCTGGCCTTGGACACTTCCAGGGATCCAGAGGCAGCCACAGCTTCTCTGGGCAACCTGGGCCAGGGCCTCCCCACCCTCCCAGCCAGGAATTCCTTCCCAATATCCCACCTAACCCTGCCCTCTGGCACTGGGAAGCCATTCCCTGTGTCCTGTCCCTCCATGGCTTGTCTCCAGTCTCTCTCCAGCTCTCCTGGAGCCCCTTTAGGCCCTGCAAGGGGCTCTCAGGTTTCTCTGGAGCCTTTTCTTCTCCAGGTGAACATTCCCAGCTCTCCCAGCCTGGCTCCAGAGCAGAGGGATCCAGCCCTGGGAGCAGCTCTTTGGTCTCCTCTGGACTCTCTCCAGCAGGTCCGTGTCCTCCCTGTGCTGGGGGCCTCAGAGCTGGACACTCCAGGTGGGGCCACATAACCTTCATTTTGATGTCTGTCTTTGTTTCCCTCTCCCTGCTTTGCTCCCTGTTCCCCATTCCCATCGATTAAAAAAGATCCAGCTCTTCCAGCGCCCTTTTCTGTGAGCATTGGCTGCCCTTCACTCACCACTCAGGTTTAATATTCCCCAAATTTTATTAACCAGTTATTTACGAGCTGCCAAATCAAACAGATTAGCAAGCAAGACTCAAAACAAGGGAAAAGATCCCGTGTTAGCCTCTCACTGGGTAAATAATTTGCTTGGGTCATGCAGAATTAATCAGTTTGCTGCTTCCCCATTCCTGATCATCCTGGCAAATAACACAGAACTCTGGGCTCTGCTTCCCTTGCCTCTGGTGCACACACAGCCAGTTGACTGCAGGATTCTTTCCAGGCAGGAAAAGAGCAAATTTCACAGAATAACTCTCTGGAAAAGCTGGAGATCTTCCCACACAAACCTGAGAGCACTGGGGGTTGTGTGAGTCGAACATGAGAGATAAAAATGTTGCCCAAAATGGGCTCAAACATGTGTAAAGACATCCCAGTTCCCATTTCTGGGAATCACAGAAGGGTTTGGGTTGGAAAGGACCTCAAAGATCATCTCATGCCATGGGCAGGGACACCTTCCACTCTCCCAGGTTGCTCCAGCCTGGCCTTGGACACTCCCAGGGATCCAGGGGCAGCCACAGCTTCTCTGGGCAACCTGGGCCAGGGCCTTCCCATCCTCCCAGCCAGGAATTCCTTCCTAAAATCACAACTGCAGCACAGCCTGAGGTGTTTAACACAAGCAATAAGACAGGACAGTTCCCTAATTACCCCAAATTCCCCCTAATTACCCCTGGTGTTCTCACAGGATACCCCTGATCTGATCCAAGGAAATACCTGACTTTTCAAAGCAGTCCAAGAGCCTGTCCTCGTTTGGATCTCCCACATGCCCACGATATGCAGATTAATTGATGACTCTTAAATCCTTGGCAGCCACAGGTACAGGTTTTTTAACCCCACTGGAAGTCAGCAGATGATCCAGTGTGACCTCCTGCCACCTCCTGCCCGTCCCAAGGAGTTCCTGTGGCACCCAGGCAGGACACAGAGGATTTTCCTGTTCCCTCAGCTTTTCCCATCTTTAATTATTGCAGCACTTGAACCAGGCGGCTCTTGGAAAATTCGCTCTTGGAAAAGCAAACAGTGCCGATGGATGGCAAACAGAGGACTTCTCCCTGTTGATTCCCACAGATTTGGGCTTGTTTAAAGCTTCCATAATGAGCTAAAGGAAATACAGGCACATTTCAATTAAAGAGCTACGATATCCCTGGGGAAACCTCTCCAAGAAAACTGTGTGAGGAAACAACCTGACTGCTCTCCAGTTTGGGTTTGGATCCATGAAATTAAGTTCTCCTGAAGAATAAAATATTTCCTGTTTTAGACAACTTGGAGCCAAGTGATGTTGATCCATTTTCCTCCAATAAAGCTCAGGCCGTTGGATTTAACCCCAGGTTTAACTTTTCCCCAAAGATCCACCATAAAATTGAGGCTTGTTCACTTGGCATGAATTTCCCTGTGGTGATGGAAAGGTTTCAAGGAATGAATATCCAGGAGTACTAAAAATGACTCTTAGTTTTGAACAGTGAACCACCAATAACAAGCTCCCAGCCCTGAAGAGCTTTGAGTGTTCCTACTCCATTTTTAAGCTGCATCCACATCGTTGGAAGTGTCCAAAAAAAACCAAAAAACCACGTGGAAGTGGCACCTGAGGATACGGTTTTCAGAGTCACAGAATCATCAGAGTGGGAAGGGACCTCTGGGGATCACCCAGTGCTGGTCTGATGGTTGGACTTGATGATCTTGGAAGTCTTCTCCCACCTGAACAATCCTAAGATTCCATGATTTTGAAGTTCCATCCCACCCCACTTTTAAATCTCCTGCTTGGTTTGGGAACTGCTGTTGCACACTGGGTTGGACAATGTGTTGGACAGGCTGGACAAGCTGAATTGTAGAAAAAAAGTCCCTTTAATAACAGTGGAGTCGATGTCCCAAAACCTGACGACTCCCAAGGGACTGGGGATGGGATTCAGGACAAGAGCAGTGAGGAATTAGAAGGATCTCCTCACCTTTCCAATGGATAAAGAGACAAATCGCAGCAAAACTTCCATGACAGGGGGTGAAGACTGTCAGGATTTGTATCCCAGCTCCCTGGATTTTTCCAGACCCCTCTGCAATGCCCCTGGGGTGGGGGACAGGAAAGAATTCCCCATCCTGTGGGACCCCTGAGCTTTTCTCCACATGCTCCCTCGAGGAGATCCCACCTTGCACAGTAGAAAAGTATTTTCCATCCTTGTCTTTCCTTTCTGTTTTTCCTCTCTTGTGCCTTTTCCATGGTGGCCACACCACCCCCAGGCTGAGGCTGAGCTCCTCAGCTATGAAGGGTTTCCATGTCACTTGGCATGCAGCATCCAGGTCCCCATGGACAGCCAATCCCTCCAAATCCAGGCTGTTATTCCATGTTTCTGTGAAGCTCAGCACAGCCCACTGCGCAGACCACAGCCTGGCCTTCCTGGGTGCTGGGGAAGCACAAAAAACCTACCAGATGAATATCAGCTAAAGACTTTTCCAGGGAGGAATTCTGCATTTCAAAACCGAGGGAAGGAGGGAAGCTGTCTAATGATGCTGGGAAAGAAGAAATAGTGAATATTAACTGAGGTAACTTCAATCTCTCCCTCCCTTCGGACGGAGCAGAAAGGAGGGATAATGATCAAAAACAGGGATTGTGAAAGCAAAGCTCCCAGGCCCTGTCCCTCAGGCACCTGGAGCGAGGCCAGAGCCACTCTCTGAGTCCCCCAGTCCTTGATGCTCCCGGCAGGAGGCCCTTGGATGTGTCTGAGATGATGCTCCAGCCCAGCCAAGTTCTGGGATGAATGACTCCACGGGGGGCAGTGGCCTGGTGCAGGTCAGGGAACATTGATGTTAAACACTAAATCCTCCTGCTTTTTGTGCTGGAGCAGCTGGAATGCGGCTCCATCCAGCTCCGTGCTGCTCCTGGATTTATGGATTTACAAAGGGGCACAGGCCACCCCCGACAGGCAGAGCCAGTGATCACCTGAATCCACGGATTTCTTTTCAGTTCAGTCTGGGGGACACCGTGCTGGGAACCCCCACATTCATTTCTGCAGCCCTTTAGTCCTTCCTGTGCATTAATAAGACAAATTCTGGGGGGGAAAAAAAACCCCAATACACAAAGTGCTCTCTGTTACCAGAAACACCTTAATTTGGATTTTATTTGTGCTGAGGGATGGATGACGAGTCAGCTCTGATGATATTTCGGGGGTTGGGTGCTGGAACGAAGCTTAATTTGAGTTTAAGCCTAGAGGACTGATCTGCAGAGGGAGATCTGGGCTGTGCTCAGGCCACCACGTGTGTTTAGGGTGGAACAGGAACATCACCCAACCAACCAGACCCCTGCAGAGGGACCCTGTGCTGGAAGGCCTGAACACCCTCATTCCTTCCTCTCCTGCACCAGGAACACCTCAGGCTGGTTGGGAAGTTTAAACTCAGTTAAAACCAGTTGTTACAAACTGGATGAACCACTTAGGAGGGAGACAACAGGCTGTGAAAAACCCACTTGTAAAACACAATCTGAACACTCTGAAATATCCTCAGGTCTCCCCAGTTTGCCTTTTTTTTCTGCAGTGCTTGGGAATTCCAGGATTATTCACACACTCCTTGCTTGGAATTGCTCCAATCAGGCCCTTCTTTTTTTTTTTTTCTTGGTCATTCAATCAGTAATTAGGCTGAGGGAAGAGGAAAGCCAGAGAAGAAACATTTGGGAAAGGATTTTTATTGTTCCAAGGATTTAATATTCAGGCATTGCAGACCTGAGTAAATTCTAATTGTGTTTCTAACTCTACATTTAATAAATGGACCATGGAGAGGTTAAAAAAAAATAAAATAAAAAGGGCTGTGAGCAGTGGGAGGAAAAAACAGGAAATGAGGCCATGAATCAAATCTGGTTTTGGAGATGACAGCGGGGCTGGATACAAATCCAACAGTCAGATAAAAGGGTATCAACATAAATAATCACAGATTAATATGACATTATGTTAATATATTACACTTTAAGGCCCGTGGGTAAATCTGAGGGCCCTGACCTGCTTAATGTCACATTCACCTTTTCTTTATTTTGCTCAGAAAAAGGGGAATAATTCATCCTTGATCAAAGTGTGAACTTTGATGGCTCAGGAAATCAATCCCTGCAGGTTTGGATCTCCCTGGATATCAACAGGGAACTGTTGCCAGTGTGGCAAAATCCAGGCAGGTTCTGGTCTTGAACTAAAGACAATAAAACTCTGACTCTGAAAAGTGAAATAATGACTGAAACATCAATTCTGAGGTGAGCCCTCAACCTGCAGCTTCTGCAGGAGCAGAATTGGGACTGAAAACAAAGGAATTCTGCCCTTTTTTATAACCAGGTCTTCGGATGAGTTTGCAAAGCTCATTTAGAGGAATTTGATGGCTTGGATTAATTTGCCCTGCAGGTCTGACTTGTGCCAAGAGCACCAAGGGCAGCGGGATTTGGCCCAGCAGGAGTGTGAAGTCCTGCACGTGGGTCAGGGCAATCCCAGCAGGAATCCAGGCTGGGAGGAGAATGGATTGAGAGCAGCCACGAGGAGAAGGACTTGGGGGGGTTGGTGGAGGAGAAGCTGGAGATGCCCCAGCCCAGAAACCCCTGTGCCCTGGGCGGATCCCACAGTGGGGGCAGCAGGGCAGGGGGGGATTCTGTCCCTCTGCCCCCTCAGGGGAGACCCCCCTGCAGAGCTGCCTCCAGCCC